TTTGCGTTGCGTATTTATTGAATTTTGTAATAACATTGATAAAGGCCTGATGACAGGCTGAAACGTTTGTTCTTTAATGTATTGTTCAATGGTTATAAATTAATACACGATAACCTTCGCACGAATATCTGGCTGTTGGCTCTTTACGCTCCTATCAAATTTATTAATATTAAAAAAACTGATGCATGCACTTAGGTTTATCAAAACAGCTAGAACTTTTGCACACACCTAATATTTATGATGATTTATGATTTATTTAAATGGTTGATTTAATTTTTATATAAATTTTTTACAATTTCAACAATTATTCTTTAAAAAATTAATATGTCCAAATATGGATAAACAAATAACATTAACCCTTTTTGTGGCAATATAATATATTCTATAATTGTCTTCTTATACTTTATTATTTAATATTTAATATTTTATGCAAGTATACACATTATTGCGTATCACAGTAATGAGGATACCCTCAGATATCGAGATCCATTTTTTTCTACACAGGGTGAGGCATCTAAAACAGGCTGAATAACAGCTAGAACTAGAATAACTTGTTTGCTTTTGGCGATAGAAAAAATGTATCAATCTTAGTTTCAAGGGGGGCATAATCTGATGTCAATAGTTTTTTGTAGGTGGAAGTGTAGAGGAGATGCAAAGGTCAACTTTTTAGATTAGAAGGTAAGTAAACAAAAATATATTTTATTTAAAAAAATGAAGTTGACCTTCACATCTCCTTGAAACCAAAATTGATTTGATGCTATTTTTTTTCTATCATCAGAAGCAGGCGAGTTATTCAAGTGACCTGTTTTAGTACCTCACCCTGTATATTGTGTCTAAGCGAACGAATTCGGAGCAATCAAATTGCTAATCAATATCAACTTTAAATGCTTTTCATTTAAAAACTATTATATTCTTGACATTTTCGCATTAGAATTATTATTTCAAAATGATCTCAGAAATGTACCATTGTGATGCGATTGATATAAAACAGTATGTATTTATATTATTATATAATAAGAAAGATACATAATGAGTATAGATATTTGCGGAAAATAAAATGCAAAAAATTGGTTTTTATGTCGTCACGTGAATGTTTCGTCTAGTTATAACATTTTAAAAATCAGGTAAACATACATTGTTTATGCTATTACGATCAATTGGTCAGCTTAGCAGCAGTAGTAAAATTTGCGCGAATCAAGTGATTGTCTCGTCGGCCGATTACGCCCTAAATCGGGATTTCTCTGAACATCATTGTCAGTAGGTGATATATTATATAATAATTGCCAAAATCTTTACACGGATCACACAGAGCGTACAGAGCAAACGAAGTGTACGAATTGCATTAAAAATCCAGTTTTTGATAAACTCACAATCACTTATTTCAGATAATTATTTTGCAAAATATTATTAACTAATTACAAAAATAAAGTTAACTTTTTCTATATGGCAGTGTAAGAATGTGAAACAACTGGCGCGTCGAATAAGTTAAGATAGCGTTTTGTCTGCACGTTCTTTCTGCCAAAAAAGTCAATGATGCACAAAAACACATATGTAAACAATCTGTACCGTGTATCAATTTCCACTGACAATGATATCTAATGATACAACCATATAGATCGCTCTTCCATCTGGAAAAGAACGATATACATTTTGCCAAATATGTGACTATTTGTATCACTCAAAATCACACATATAGCAAATCGCCTATTGTGTCTGCGAGACGATCGATGACACAGGCCGGTAAGGACTTTACAATTTCCGTTTTGGCCTTAGCATTCTATCGTAACGAGCAGCTTTCTAGAGTCGCTTAGAACCAGCAATATAAATTCCGTTTATCCGTGCCAAACATATCATGAAAAAATCCCGGATTCTCGACGGGCTTGTAAATGGGATTATGCGTTTGAAAAGGAAACAGCGAAAAGGAAAAAGCCAGTGCGAGGTTTCTTGTGTGTCCCACAGACGTTTATATTTTTGTTTTTCTAATATCGGCACGCTTTGACTTGTGTTTCTCGACATGACTTTTATACCGAAATTTAAGAGAAACTCATTTTTTCAACCTGCACTTGCACAAGAATTTATGCGATTTATGCAGAGCTTATTAAGCTTATTTTTTAATATGCAATTACAAAAATTACATATTTTAAAGATTATACATATAATTTTATATACTTACAATGTTATTTGTACATAAAAATAACATACTAAAAGCCGTTTATTTTTACTTGTTATTATTACTATTTTATTAAATTATTACTATTTATAATTATTGCTGTCTCAATGATTGTTTTAACAAAATTAACTTTACATTACCGAACAAACTTATCAATAAAACCGAAATTATAAGATTTGCAGAAGTTTCTTTCTAAATAACAGATAGTGCCGCCATTGTAGACGCGTTCAAAAACGTGAGGGTAGTCTCATTAATAAATGTCGATAACAAATGTTTGCTAACGAGAGTTCTGGAAGAAAATAGGTCGTAATCACGGTGTATATCTAAATTCATATCTCTCGCGTAGCCGGAAATGCGGAAACACCTATACAACACATCCTTATAAATTTACATGGTTTATAAGTATATACACTGTCAACTGGGACAAGTATATAAGTGTATACACAATATAATGACATATATATATATTTTATACGTTTATATAAACAATATATATATATATATATATATATGGTAAATATGCATTTTAGGTCACATCTCATCGATTTTGTCGCCATTTAGATATGTAGGAAAGGTTGTTCTGAGTAATTCCCCGCAAAAATCAAATGGAGGACGGCATCGGTTTAAGAGATATAATAAATTAAAATTTCAGAATTTTAATGCTTCTTTAGGTATTATAAACTGATATTACGAACAGCGAAGTTTATGTACGCTACGGCTACAATAAAAAAGGAAAGGTTGAGGTACTTTCCTTGTTATGGTTACGTTTTTCTTTCCTCGTAATCGTTATTTACTTTGGTCATGAATTAAATATAATATATCCAAAAAAACAGTTTGTCGTATTTTGAGAGCAAATTCTTATCACTCGTACCACATATCAATTCATCAAGCACTTTCTGATAATGATAAAAGACTTCATAGCAGATTTTGCGGATGGGCACAGAAGCAAATAGCACTCGATCCCACATTTTTTGACTGCGTCATATTTAGTCATTCATTCAATTTATTCAGTCAATCGCGATTTAACACATTAGTGTGATTAATATATTATTAATATTTAATATAACAATTAATTAATATATTAATATAATAATATAATATATTAATATATTATTAATATATAATATATTATTCTAATATAATATATTATTATAATATATAATACATAATATATAATATATTATATTATTATATATAATATATAATAATATATTAATATATTATTTATTACAAGAAATGTAGCAAAATGATTGTTGTGTAAAAATAGTTACTTAAAAAAAATCATAAACACAATTTTACGAGTAAGTAAAATATAATACAAATTTATTTTTAGCGATTTAAAACATAACTCAAAATCAATAAATTATGTTGTGTGTTTTGTACACTAAGTAATAGGCCTCTGCAATATTTGTAACTTTCCGAAATTCGAACTTTAGTTCGCTTCTCGATACTTATTACACAGGCCTACAACGATTTTGACCCAGGGACCAGACTAGATGATTCCAAAGGTTTTTGGCACGCTGAAGCTGAATCCGTTGCCCGAATTACCTTATCACGTCAAGTTTTTGAGATATTCTAACCTCAACGTGCGAAAACAGCGATTTTGTTCGATTTTCAGATTAGAATCGCTCAGAAAGGATTTAAGATAGGCCATTTTGACTAACGAATTCGGATTTGGCATGAAAAAATCTATGAAAATCAACCCTCATATCGCAGGAATCACTAAATTAATTGTATGTACATCAGAATTGCAAAATTTAAATTGGCGGATTCAATAAGGCGGACCAAAATTACAAAAAATAAGTGGATTTTTAAGAAACTTGATACCTTAAGATTTTTAATAAATGTTTTAAATGTAAATTCAAATTCAGGCACCTAAAATATTTTCAAATACCAATTTTTATACAAATCCGCTTTTTTTTTATTATTTTGATCCTCCATATTGCATCCGCCATTTTGAATTATTGAATTCTGATGACATATTCGAATTTAATGACCTCAAAAACCTTAAGATACCAAGTTTCTTAAAAATTCGCTTATTTTTTGTAATTTCGGTTTGCTACATTGGATCCGCAAGTTTGAATTTTGCAATTCTGATGTGCATACAACATTAATTTCTGCGACATGAGGGTTGATTTTTATAGATTTTTTCATGGTGAATCCGAATTTGTTAGTCAAAATGGCCTATCTTTAATCCTTTCTGAGCGATTCTAATCTGAAAGTCGGACAAAATCGCCTTTTTCGCACTTTGAGGTTAGGATATCTCAACAACCTGACGTGATGGGGCAATTTGGGTAGCGGATTTGGTTTCAGCGTGCCAGAATTCTTCAAAATCACCTAGTCCGTTCTTTGGGTCCAAAAAAAGTGAAATTTTGCAAGCCTGTGTTATCAAAGTTTCGCGAAATTCCGAAACATGGAAGGTTACCATCGCAATGCATCGTAATAATTGTAAATTTGCTAGAAAGCAGTACGTATCTTTTCTTGAGAGAAAAGCGATTTATTTCCACGACGGTTTAATTTGTTGTATATATGCTGACTTCTTCTTTATAATTCAGAATATAATTAGTTTAGAAATATATGAAAAATAATATGTATTTCATACAATATTATAATAATATTAGTATATATATTATTTATAGGATATAATAAGAATATAATTTTGAAATTATTATTAAAAATTTGATAAGTAAAGATAATGAGCATAATATCAAATAATCCAGAAGAAATTATTTGTTTTGAATTATTTTCTTATTATTATTGCAAAATTACTGATAAATTGCTTTTTAGGTAGTAAATATTCTCGCTAATTGCTGTTTTTTCTTGGTTATAGAGGAAGAGTGGAATCCAGATGGTAAAGGTCGCCAGTCTAACGACACCGGTGAGTGCTGAGTACTAGTATCGTATAAAATTTTATTTGCGAATGGGAATGTTTTGAAATTTTGGGTGGACTTCCGAAAAGCTATCACCTCCGATTTGGCTGATATTCAGCCTAAATACTTATTTTATCTAGTAAATAATATTCCCAAATGGATTTTTGGCGTAAATGCCCCCTCCGCCCCGCAGCCCCTCTAAAAAATAAAACTGTTTTTGTTAATTATTTCAGAAAGTATTCATTGTACGGAAAAAATTATCAAACAAAAAATAAAACTCATAAAAAGTTCTACAAATAAAGTCCTATACATATTTTACCTAACTCCAATATTTACGCCAAAAATCTATTTGGGAATATTATTTATTAAATAAAATATTTAGGCTGAAAATCAGCCAAATCGGAGGTGATAGCTTTTCGGAAGTTTATCCGAAATTTTTTTTTGCATTCTCATTTTTCCTTTAGCCTATATCAATCTTTAATTTAATTTTGAGATATATTAATTTTTATTTTACCACGGATGCAATACGGTATATCTCGTACAAAAAATTTATAAATTACTTATTCATTATATTTTAAGAAATTTATTATTAAGAATATTATTAAGAAAATCTTATAATTCTCAGATTATACATTAAGTTTATGCACATTGCAAATAATATTTTATTGCTGAGTAAATTAGTATTAAGGCTCCTGGGCTCGCCACGGCCATGTTGGCAATCGTGGCGTCAGAGGCGAGGAATTACACGCTGAGAATTCTTGCGTGCCATTTTTAAATAAAAAGATATTTTGATGAAATAACACTATAGATCGCTATAGCACACTTGTAAAATTGTCCGAAAACTATACTTTTCCCTCAACAGTTAATAAACAACAGTAAAATGAATGTGATACGATTCATATCACATTTATTTTACTGTTGTTTATTAACTGTTGAGGGAAAAGTATAGTTTTCGGACAATTTTACAAGTGTGCTATAGCGATCTATAGTGTTATTTCATCAAAATATCTTTTTATTTAAAAATGACACGCAAGAATTCTACTAATGTGTCTTTTTTTGCCTCTGACGTCACGATCCAACATGGCCGCGGCAAGTACCCAGGAGCCTTAATACCATTCAGGATACTTCAGGATTAACCGGCTTAACTTAAAATATGAATTTAAGATTTTGGAGTAAGAAAGTTTCTCTAAAGATTTGTCTACAAACACTTTGTTTAAGAGATATTGATATTTAAACGTTTTGAAGATAGAATTTGATATTATATCAGATTAATAAATAATAAATAAATTAATAAAGTGTTTTAACTATTTTATTACTAAAAAAATATGAAAAATCTGAAAATATGAAACTAACATAATTATAAATTCGAACAAAATTAGAAACTTTATTCAAAGTAATGATCTACAAACATGAAGACAGACTTGGTTTCTATCTCTTACAACATTAGAAGACTATGAACTTTTGTTTCTCTTTCTGTCCGATATCAATAGATGTCATGAAAAATCGTACAGAAAACACCATATCGACCTAATACTGATTGAATATTCATGATCCCAAGCGATGGTTCTGTAGGATCTGTAGCTTGACCCGCCCGTAGTTCTCCAGATTTTACATCATTAGATATTTTTGCTTGGGGTGCTATTAAACGAAAACTTTATGAAACTCCAGTGAATGACGTTCATTCTTTACAACAAAGAATCATTCAAACATATAAAACAATCAGAGTCTAGTGTCATTCTGCCACAAATGCCGTGAGTGACAGATGCCTGTCTCCGTGCTTAAGGCCATCGCTTTGAACACAATTTCTAATTTCTAATTAATAATTTTAAATTATTTTTAATTGAAAATGCACAATAAAGAAAATAAAACATTAATATTTATTCAATAAAAGATAGAAATTGAGCTGCTTAATCGAAAGTGATAACCGTGATAATAATATTGTTCGGATATAAGATAAGATTATTCGAAAGAAACGTGGAAAATTTGCTATTGCTTTTTCGCGTATTGAAAAGTGCACCCGAATCTGTCGCAAATAGAGATAGTCATTACTGTCTTATGAGATCGACTGCTCCACGAAGGGATTATCCAGATTGCATTGCCTGCAATCGCCTTTGGCTCCTCTCCCTTCCTTCTCGTTTCCCTTCTCTTCTTTTCGCCTTCTCTATTACCTCTCGCCTTCTCCTTAGCATTGAAGTAGATGCGCATTACGAGCTTAACTTAACCGTCGGAATTAGCGAGATCTCAGTCAGGTTTCTTGAGTTCAAGTTTCACCCTCTCCCTTCGTTTATTCTCTGAAGTGACTGCGCCCGCCTCGCCGCACACCGTTCGTAAAATTGATACGCCAAGCCTCTCGTCTTTATCGCAAGCCTATCCTGCTGTAACTGCAAATTCACGAAACAACTGTCTTATAGAAGGAAATGCTCCGGATTGTTCTCTCGAGTACTTGAAAATTTGCAACTATAATATTATGTACTAGTATAACATAAAAAATATTACTATACAGGATGGTCTGGGCCGAGTTCTAGCACCTATTCTGTTGAAGATAGAAAAAATGATAGAGATAAAGGTTGAATGGCATAACAAGATATATTTTTCTATGAAACATGATGTTAAACATTCCACCGCGACATAACAAACACTTTGTGATCCGTTTCTTTGTGCTTTTTATCATAGCATCAAGATGATCAGTATTTACGTTTAAACAATTTATTTTAATCTGTTCTTTTAAGTTACTAACGGAAACAAATAAACGCAAATGTACTTTATTCTTATAAACTGTGGTCAACTGATACTGTGATGACTTCAGGACTTTGAGTCCTCAGTTTTACTTAAAATCCGTAATCGTAAAAACGTTTAAACATCACTTTGAATATAGTATATACCTCATTCAAAAATGTCAAATATCTCGTGAAATATTTACTTTTCGAGCACCTTACTCTAATATTTTTATACAAGCTGGTTGAAGTTTGGAACGTTCCTGGCGTGATTCTTTGAAAATAATTTGTTCCATTTTTTCTTTTGCACACAGGAACTGCTAAGTACTACAAAAAAATATAAAAGAGACTGATTTGATACACCCTAAGCAAGACACCTTTATATTCAAAAAAACTCCCTCCCCCCTTCCAGATCATTTAAAACAGCGCTCGGAATTAGTTGCACATTTCGGGCTGATTTCCGAGACGACGCCTCCTGTTCCCCCACTACCGTCCGGCCACTGACGGCCGAGCCGCCGATAGCTCTGGCTCAGGAGCGTTTTATATTAGAAATAGGCTGGATTGTTTAGGCATCTTTCAGGAAATCGTAACATTTTCTTCACTACATAAATAATGTTTATTTTTATTAATACATAATATACAGGGTGTCCCAGACTTACCGTATCATCCGTTAATGGCAGATTCCTGAGGTCATTTGAAAACGAAAATCTTAATATCAAAATGTCGAGGCTACTATAGTATTTGAATGGGAAAAGCTTAAAGTTTACTAATCAGCTTGTCAGAATTTCGCGCGCTCAGAGACATCGCATCTCGAAAGGACCCTTGCACAACACTTTATGTAGCAAATCATACTTCGTACCGATAGTATTGATTTTCTCTCATGACATGAAACGTCATTTGTCAATGGCACGACTGCTTTGACAGTTCGACGCGCATCGTGTTTTAATACAATTTAGAATTTATTATTGTTAGTAAATTCGTCAGTATTGCGAACAATGTAAATAAAGTAAATAAAGTGAATAAGAGCTGAGTGAAGTAAATAAAACGTATTGAATAAAGTGTTGTGCAAGCAAGGGTTCTTTCAAGATGCGATGTCCCTGAGCGCGCGAAATTCTGACAAGCTGATTGGTAAACTTTAAGCCTTTCCCATTCAAATACTATAGTAACCTCGACATTTTA